TAAATTTAGTTGGTAAAATAGTACGGTGATATACGAATTAATGTAAACATATCACATTTTTCACAATTGACAGTTGGCAACATCTATATGTCAAACTAATGATATGATCTGACAGTCAGTGAGTAACGACATATAGAAAACTACAAATGTTTTGTATATAAACAAGATTTTGAAGCAACCAGTAGAGACTAGGACAATTGAGGTGGACGGATAAGGGAAATGTAGCAAAGGATGAAGCAGTTTTAATATGGAAAATAAAATAAACTCTATAAGGAATGAAGTAGGTATCAAAATAGACCACTAGGACGTCATAAAAAGCTTTGGTTAGGAAAATGATTGGTGTCCAAATCAAGAGAAATCTTGCACGCTATAGAAAAGAATAAAATGCAATTATTAATCAGACTAAAACTCACAGAAGGTTGTAACTCTAGTGAAAGACGAAGAAAAAGTAAACCTTAGTAAAACAAGCCAAGAATACAACTTCAAGAAACTATAATGAAGGGATTATCAGATGATGACCTGTGCAGATTCTGTCACCTCGAAGAAGAAACGGCAGAGCACATTTTATGTCAGTGTGACAGTCTGGCAAATGTGCGGTTTTTTGCATTAGGAGAAGAAAATCCACCGGCAAACAGCTACATGGAAGGTACAGTCTCGAAGCTACTAGACTTTATAAAGAAGGAAAGGCCACCTCTCTTAATCTAATCTAACTATAATGAAGAAACGATACCATTGGGATTGAGAAACGTGTTGTTGTAAACTGAGGATCATTTTCGGTACAAAGAAAACCATTAAAACACTTTTATTAGCGTAATTAACAAAAAAAAAACATGTGCCTACAGAAGGCATGATAATTTCACAAAAACATAAAGAATTGCCAATAGATAAACAGTTTAAAAAAAAATCGTTTCCATGCCACGTGCTCAAAGTAATGATGAAATATTTCAAGTATAAAAATATATCATGTCTTAAATGGCCAGCAATCTCTCCAGATTTTAGTCCGATTGAAAATCTGTAGGCTATTATAAAACAAATATTAAAAAACGAAAAAAATAGCTGATTCTATATCAAAACTTATTCAATATGATATAAAAGCCAAGAGGAGGCACATTTTTTATTAAAACAATTTAAATTGTATACTTTTCCTTTTTTTTTTCATCGATAACATAAAATGTCACTTGACTCAAATAGACAGCACAGGTTATTTACAAATTTGCAAAAATCAGTGTTTCTTGAGTTTGCTGGACACTACAAAATAGCATTTGTTGCTGCTGAAACGATAAAAAGGCCGAAAACACTTGGGACGTACTTCTAAGTTTTATCAGGTACTGTGGATAAGTCGAGCTTTTCCTCTTGAAGTCAAACACACAGTTATTAAAGGAAAATGACTCCTAGAGTCGCAGGAGAACTGACTAACCTTACTTGGAATTCCTTCATCTTCACATACTAAGTTTCGGCTTCGCTTAAGTCAACTGCCAGTAGGTGCGAAAGTTCAAGGTCACATTCGCATGTGATACGGATGTCAAGTTAATTGCGCCTGCGTGTGTTAAGAATCGGTCATTCAAAACGACACGATCCAACCAAAATACGATTTATTAGATATCTATATAATAAATTTAAAAATGTAAGAGTTGCGATGTCTGAAACGTTGTTTTCTTCAGAGCACTAAAAAAAGCCAAGAAAGAAGCGCGAAGGAAGGTTCTGCTAGGCGGATCGCCACTTTACCTAGGTGGAGGTTCTCCTAGATATACCATAGGCTCGGCGTCTCCTAGACAAGGCTTAGGAAACGGCTCGCCCCGTTACATGTGCACAACGTACGACATGAACGTACCGAGAAGGAGAAAACATAAAATGAAACATAAAAAGAAGCACAAGGAGGAAAAAGATCGAAAACATAAAGAGGGAGAAGTAAGTTGTTGGTCTTTTTTATTTTTATTAAGTGATTTAGGTTTTAGAGACTCTTTCGTCCACCATTATGTTTATTTTTTGTTTATTTTTATCTGAAATATGCTTTATAGGAATAAAATAACTTATTTCTTCCGAAATCTTCCATTGTTAAGTCCTGATCTATTTTTGTTCTCTCGGATAAGTGTATATCTGTTAACGCCTTCATTCCAATTTGTTCTGTCACCTTTGGACTGTGTATTTTTCAATGTATAACTTACTTGGATATATTAACTACATGCTGCTCTGTATTCCACTGGAAAAACTTTCCAAAACAGCCCGGAAACACTTTGGGTTGTACTAAAGACTCATGAAGCTTCCCATAAATCTTCTAGGCCGGTACCCAAATACTCTGAACTGCCCATAAATCCTCTAAACTACTTCCAAAATCCTTCATAGCAGCACTGAAGTAATCCAGGCTGATCTGACCTTTTTAAGCGAGTTCTGAAATATTGCAGTGCCTTCTAGAATACGCCACGACAGTCTTTAAATGATTCAGATTCCCTAAAGTCCTCCAGAGGCATCTGGAAAATTCCAAGACAATCCTGAAATATTATAGGTTCCCATAAGGTGGCTCTAAAGGCCTGTGAATCACTTAAGAGAGCTCTGTAACATTACAGGCTCTCTTGAAGTTTCTAGGCAAGCATTAACAGCTTCCCTAAAATCCCAAAGGCACCTAGAACATTTAAATATATATCTACGACATTTTAGACTGACAAAATGAACTGAAATATTTCGGGAAAGTTGTGAAATAGACTCTAGGCTTTCCAAGTAGGCCATACAACGTTAGCAGCTTTCCTAAAGTTCTTCAAAAGCTCCTGAAACATTCCAGTGCTGTTCTGAAATGTCTAACGATGCGTGAAGCATTAGTACATTCGCAAAGTCCTCCAGATTTTTCCGAAACAATCCAGGATTGCCCTGAAACGTTTCACTTTTAACCGAAACATCCTAGCATATCCTGAAATATTATAGGCTGTCATGAAGTCCTCCAGAGCCTACTGTAACATTCCGGGACGTTAATCACTTCACTAAAGTTCTCCTAGAGCTACTTGCACTTTCTAGGTCAATCTTATGATACATCTCTCAGACATCCTCCAGGTGCAATTTAAATTGTAGCCTATGCTGAAACATTCCGGTAAATTTCTGAAACATTCTAGACTATCTTGAAGTACTATAGGCTGTTATCCAGCACTGTTTCTGAGTTCTGAAATATTTCAGATTGTTTTTAAGTTTATAAACTGGTCCTGAAATGGTAACAATTTTAGTAAAGACTCTGAGACAGTCTTAAAGCATTCCAAACTTTTCTGAAATGCTCTAGGTGCAAATGAAACATTCCAGGTTCTCCTAAAACATTACTGGTTTTCATAAAGCCCTCTAGAGTTGATTGAAACATTGAACCAATTTTAAAACACTTCAGGCTATCCTGAAATGTCAGCTTGTCCTGAAATATTAAAGGCTTTCCCTAAATTACTCTAAAGTTTACCGGAATACCACAGTGCAGTTCAAAAATATTTCAGGCTCTTCTGAAATCTTCCAAGTGCAAGTGAAACGTTCTAGGATATTCTGAAACGTTACAAGTTGTCATAAAATTCAGAGTTTAATGAGAGATTCCAGGTTAGTTTTAAAACATTTTAGGCTATCCTGAGCTGTCTTATTTTGCACTGAAACATTAGCAGCTTTCCCTAAATTCCTTCAAATGTGTTTGAAACATTTCTGTGCAATCCTAAAATGTTTCAGGCTTCTCCGGTATCCTCCAGATGCAAGTGAAACGTTCTAGGCTATTGCTGAAACATTATAAAGTGCTATAAAGTTCTTTTAGACGTTCCTGAAATATTTTGGGATCATTTTACTAAACCGAACGACAGGTTACTATAATCTAGGCAGCGAAGCTGGTGGTTAACACTGCAGGGAAAGCCTTGTAGTCTTATTCACGCATATTTGTGAAATCTTTTAGTGAGAAAATGGAGGATTTCTATTGAAGGATAGAAATCAATGGATCAATGGACGAAACAGTGCCCTGTCTTCGCTTAACGTAGCTTCTAGTGCGCTTGTTGTTGCGTAATGTTGCTCGTGTATAATCTGAATAGAAAAAGGTTATATACAACTCAAATTACTGTCAAAGTGTTTGTTTGAATGCTCTCCTATGTATGTCTATCTATATACATTTATTTTTCCTTTCAATTATCTAAATTCCATGCGCAAAAGCGAATACATATACTATACACTAATTTTAGAATTTAGCTATCTAATCGAATTTCTTTTCCGTTCCAGTAAATGACTCGTCTGTTTTATTTTAAGGTAAGCTCGACGCAAGACGACTCCAAAGAACAGTACATCACTCAAAAACTGTCCATCAATTTGAAGCGTCTAAACAATACTTACACATCCAGTACGTCATCGGATAAAAACGAAGATATGTCCAGTTCGGACGAACAAAGCGAGACGATGCCCAACTTTCCTCCTCCGAATAATCCTCCTTTGATGTTAAGAATCAACACCCATTCCGTGTCGAGCGCCGTGGGGCAGACGGTAAGATAAAAAATGTAAGATGCAGTATCTAATGAGTAATTAAACCACTACTAAAAATTATATATAGAAAACTGTCCATCAACTTTGACTGATTTAAAACATTTAAACCTTGACCGTGACCTTGAGTTACCGAGAAGTAGGCGTAATTAATTTACTTATACTCTTCTGAGAGTTGTTCTAGCTGCTTATTCTTTTCTGACGTTCTGCTAATTTAATTTGTCTTACTTTCGCTTGATTGTTCTTCGGTATATTTCGAGTAGCAACAACACTGTGATTAGAGTCAGAAATGCCATAATATTTGCGGTTCAACTCAAATTTGTTCAATAGTACTTCAATTATTATATGCCATATTATTTGCGGTTCAACTCAAATTTGTTCAATAGTACTTCAATTATTGTATGCCATAATATTTGCGGTTCAACTCAAATTTGTTCAATAGTACTTCAATTATTATTGTTGTCAAACACTTCTTTTGTGTGTTCTCTTCCAGTTTCTATTTGTTCATGTAAAATTTCTATTTCCGTGTACTAACTCTCTAGTTTTATATCTGTATCTTCCGCTATTCTATCGACTTCTTCTTGTATTTGTTGTAGATAACCTTTCACTTCGTATTCATATTTCTCTAATTTGTTTTCTATCTGACTTGTCATTTTGTTATTTTCTTCTCTAATTGCATCTTGATGTGCTTTCATCATTGTTCTATTTTCTTCTTGCTGTGTTTTCATCATTATCATTAATTTTTCTAACATTCCTCTTTCTTATTTCTCCTCAACTATGGTATCATTTTGTTCATTCCTTTTCTTCTAAGTGTGTTACCATGTGTGTTTATCCGTTTACTATATTTAATGCTGTAACTTGTTACCACTTCTTGCATGAAGACAATTGAAGATTTTCTTCGATTGAATATGATGTAACATAGCTAAACTATAGACCTTCATACTTTATTCTGGAAGCGTTGTAGAATTTCAATGTTTGAGTGGACCCTCAACTGGATTCCATAATTTTAAATTGATTTAAGGATCGCATGGTAGAGAATCAGTTGTTATTCAACGTTAGCTTTCAGTTTTGTCCAACCAGCATGTAACAAGTTGCTTTGTTATAGTAAATATATGCTTCTATTAGTTTAATTTTCCCTCGAGATTAAGTATTTTGTGAAGTTTGACCTTATTTAATTTCTGGCAATGATTGTATTAATATCCTAACTAAAAAAAAATAAGATGGTTGGTAGTCCTCAAACTCAGTGTCTTTATGGTTGTAAGTTCTAAAGCTGCCTCAAGTTTATAGAGTTTTCTGGAAGATTGGTGAGAGGATCCTGAAATACTCCAGGCTTCCCTGAAATGCTTCTGTTCCTTATGAAAACTTCTGAACTCTTCAGAAATATACTAGACGATCCTGAAACGATCCAGAATACTTCTGATAAACTACAGATAGTCTTGAAGGTTCTAAATAAGCCATAAAATATTAACAGTTTTCCTAAGGTTCTCCAAAGACTCCTGCAACATTACAGGACATTTCTAAAATATTCCAGACTTCCATGAAATGCTTCTGTTCCTAATGAAAACTTCTGGGCTGTCTTAAAACATAGCATGTCGTCCAAATGTGTACTCGACGCACTAAAACAATCAAAAACATTTCTAATATACTACAGATAGTCCTGATGGTTGTCACTAAGTCATCAAATATTAGCAGTTTCCCTAAAAATTTCCAAAGACTCCTGCAACATTACAAGATAGTCCTTAAATAATTCAAGCTTCTCAAAAATCTTCCCGATGCAACTGAAACGTTCTAGGTTATCTAAAAACATACCAAACAACTGCCAAGATCCCTGAAGCATTACAAGATAATTTCGAAACATTTGGAAGCTGTCTTAAACTTTTTAAGCGACTTTTAAATCATTTGCGGCTTTCCTAAAGTTAACTAGAACATTACCGGCAGCCATTAAATCTTCTATGTGGCAATTAAACATTCCAGGATGGTTCTAAAATACTTCAAACTATCCTAATTTTATAAGCTGAAACATTAGTGACCTCCCTCAAATTATACGAAGGTTCCTAGTACATTCCAAGACGGTCCTAAAATATTGCAAGCTGTTTCAGAATCTTTCAGGTGCAACTGAATCGTTCTTCGGTGTCCAAAAACATTACAAGACTGTCATGGAATCTTTCACAGCACCCTGAGATATTATTGCATAGTTCTGAAATATTTTATGTATATATATATATTATATATATATATATTATATATATATATATATAATATTCTTATAATAATCTTTTTGGAGATTAGCGAACATCACGGCAATCTGTACTTTATTTACGACAGGTCTGACAGGTGTGTGTTAAATCAAATACAGAGGTTTTTTAGCTGCGAAATCCTTTGTCTTAATAATACTATTAAATAAATACACAAGGACCGTTTTCGATATGTAGAGGCAGTTTATAGTTTATAATTAAATAAAGCGGTCGTAGGGATACAAAATCCAAGAGCTTAATAGTGTCTGCTTTTGTTATTGACGATTTGTGATCATATTTCAGGAGTACGTCTGTTAGTGGGCGACGTCGTCTGGGGCAAAGTGCACGGGTTTCCTTGGTGGCCCGGCAAAATTTTAACTATGACAACGTCTGGCACGCACGCTCCACAAGCACACGTTGCTTGGTACGGATCCTCGACTTCTTCTGTGATGCAATGTGATCAGCTCAGCCATTACTTAGACAATTTTAAGGTAAGATTTGATACAAACTTTCTAAATGTACTGCCCCTCTTTTGAAGGGGATATTTAGGTTATTCCTATATATTTAGTTTTAAAATATTTGTTCATTGTTCTTTTTTGGAACAAACTTTATTGTTTTAGTATTGCCTATACTAAATTCACAATCAAGATGCACTAGAAATAAACAAACCAAGACACTAAAATGTTACGAGGAACACTCCCGAATCATGATTTACAGTGTATAAATTTTGTAAATCATGATTTGGGAATTATACAATGTATATACATTGTAAATAATTATTTCAGAGTGCTCCTTGTAACATTTAACGTGTCTTAGTTTGTTTATTTCTACTGCATCTTGATTGTGAATTGAGTATAGTACCTTTTTTAATGCTGCAATTAGGATATTTGTAAACAATATTAAAAACTTTTTTATAAAAACACTTTGTCGCCTAAAAATACTTTATACCATTTTATTCACTTCTAACAAGTGACTTAACGTATCACTGTGATGTTATCTAATGTTTTGTGATATATTATGTTACTATAAAGGATTTCAATTGAAAATTTCGCCGCGATAGTGATCTTTTCACTGCATGGTAATCGCTCGCAACAAAAAATGACCCAAATGTTGACCATTACTCGGAATGGGTGACATTGACTGCGCCAATTATGATTCATGTTTAGAAGTCAAAGTTCAAAGTTTTATGAAGTTGCTTGCTATTTAATCAGCACCAGCACTGGACTGCACTATAATGGCGTAACCGTTTGATAATGGATAAGTCTAGATTTACCTTGTATCATCCATATAGTCATGTTTTGATTTGGAAAGAACCCGAAGAAACATAACTCAAAGAAAATATAGCTCCTTACGTTGTATGTGGAGTATGACCCGTTACTGACTGTGATGGAATTTCATTTGAGTTGAGAATGTGCCACATTCATAATTTTTCCAATTGTTGGCGCATTTTCTCGTTAGTTTGGCCACATTTTGTTCTTGTGGATGATAACGCTCGATCTCACGAGCAACAATTGTGAATATAGCCCTAGAAGAGTTGGATATTACTTGTGTGAAATGATTGCCTCATTCACCAGACCCTAATACAATCGAATAAGCTTGGAATGAGCACTAAAGACAGCTTGATCTAAGTGATCCCCTGCCAGGGACACCTCTAGAGCTTTAAGACTTGAAAAGACCAGTGGCAAAGAAAAATGGTTTTTTCGATGGATTTTTTTTTTTATAAAATTTATAACAAACTGAACCAAAGTAGAAGTCGACCCTGTACGCAATTTATCACTCACCAAATGTATACACTTTTCGACCGTGAAGGGAAATGAGATATATCGAACACTTCGAATGATATTTCGTTATAATGTGTATGAACTTTTGCTGCCAAAAAAAAAAACATTTTCTGAACGGGTAAAAATGTTCTATGTAATTGTATGGATTTTTGTAGTATTTAACTAACAGTTTGTTTTATATAGTGTATTTTTTTTTTTATTTCTAAAATAAAAGTATACGATAAAAACATTTTTTTTTTATTTTCTATGTTTTAGATTCACTACAACAAGAAGAAGAAAGGACCATACAAAGAAGCCATAAAGCAGGCCACCAGCGAAGCCCGCGAAACCGCCGAAAACAGAGTGCGACAACCCCTAGCCGACTCACCCTCACACAATATCATCCAAGTTGTCCCCCCGGCACTTGCCTCGCCCAGAGAAATCGATGTCGTGTCTTAACATTAGGAGATTTCAAAGACTTGTTTAAATAGTGCATATTTTTAATACGAGAAAATGAAAAGGTTATCAAGAAGGTCACAATTTGTACATTTTTCTCTTGTGGGCATTATAGTTTGTGAACAAAATTTGCCATTTTGATGTCTACCATCAATTGGGAACGAATTTAATGAAATGTCGTCATATTTTAAGTAATTAAACAACTTTATGTTAATGAATGAAGCACAAAAATAGCAGTCGACTAGAAAAATGTTTAAAATATTGAAAGCAGTGGAATTGGTGGTCTCAATGTGACGTTAGTACTTTGTGGAGGCTCATTTACAGTGGCATTTTGCGAAGTACTGCATTTATTACGATCAGCATTTCTAGATGAACCTTTCAAGAGATTGTGAAGGCGAATTGTTGTATATGAATAAAAAAATCGTCCTAAAAAAGAAGCTAACAGCATTATGATTTCAAGTAGGGCTAATATCGAGCAAAATGTTATTAGAGAAAATAAATTGCCTTCTAGGAACCAACTCTGTACGAATGTCAGAGTACAGTTTAGTAATTTTCACTTTGTGTCTTGAGATGCGCAAAGAACGAGACCTAAAAAGCAACAACAACTCTTTGCACTACTTCTCGCTCTACGACTGCTTATACAAAACTGAAAACCTGAAAATTGCTAAACTGTCCACAAAATATTACAGAACAGCCACCAAACGTGATCCTAGAAGAAATTTTGAAACTTTTAAATCTCCCTCTTGCTCACAATGTACTTTTTAGCCACTCAACGTCACTCGGAACGGAGAGAATATCCGATAAACTTGTTAAGCTTCCTCAAACTTACCAAAACCATCAAATTATTGTTCATAACCTACATTTTAGCCACTCACCGTCACTCAGAAAGAGATACTATCCGATAAACTTGTTGCGCTTCCTCAAACTTACAAAAACTATCAATTGATCACTAATAAATGACCTTCAAGGAACCAAATCTATGCGAATGTCAGAGTACAATTTAGTAAATTTTATTTTATGACTTGAGATGCGCAAAGAACGAGACCAAAAAGCACAACAAGGATAGTAACTGCTCCCACTACTTCTCGCTTTGCCACTGTGCACCCAAAAATGACATAACCTGAAAATTGCCCAACTGTAGATGCCGTGTTCATAAAATATTACAGATCGGCCACAAAACGTGACCCTATATACCGAAATGGTCTTAATAAGAAGCTCAGTCGTTTGATTTTACTCATGGTATTCATCAATAACACTCAAAGTCGACTATAATTTTACAGCATTTTCTTGGAACTTCACAAATAATTTATTATTTTCAAATATTTAAAAAAAATGTTAACGGTGTAATTTTGTTCACGAATATGTATAATGTCCACACAAACACATTCTTAATACACTTATTCCTATATCGTCCAGTATATAAGGGGATTTTACCATACAAAAGGTACTCTATTTGTGATTTTATAATCGAATCTGAGCAAATTACTTCATGCAAAACCTGCCCTCCACCATTTTCTGTTTGATGACGCACATTTGGGCTACATGAGTCAACTTAGATCGGTTATATATTACTTATCTGTAAAAATGCATCACATAGGGCGATTAAAATGAATACGACTTATCTATTTGGGAATTTAGTGAAACATTACTTTAAATAGGGAGAGAATACAACAGTTTGTCGAACTGGGAGATCACTTAAAGTTGTTTTTGCCTCTGCACACCACTTATGTATATGTGTGTTCTCAAAATTATAAGAAAAAATAACAATAACGATTTTTATAAGAATTCTGAATGATTATATATAATTTTTCTATTTTATTTAAAGTTGGACTAATGAAAACTTGGTTCCAGTACTCCCCTAACGATGCAACTTAGATTATACACATAAAATATTGTACCTCTTGTGTGAATCCCCTAGAGTCTCCATTGTTTGCACTAATATCACTAATTAAAACAGAACTAATTTCATTTTTGGGATAAGTTCTTTAAAATCGAGACAATTGAGTCATATGTTAGTTCTAAAAACTATTTTTACCGAATATATTTTTTATATCACAAAAATGATCATTGCAAATCATTTTTAGAATATTTAAAAAATTGTCCGTTCATGTAAACTTCGGGTTTGTTCGTGGAAACTAATTCGCATATTTAATTCAGTTTAATATAATATTAAAATGGAGTATTTTTGGTGTCTGGAACGTCATTTGTTTACTTTTGAGTCACATGTTAGGACACCAAAACCATTAATTTTTTGTAATTGACAATTGAACAAGTTCAATGTACATTTTCGCTATTATTTGACTTTTTTATAATTAAAAATGATAAAACTACGTACAATACAAAACAGTTAATAAGATTTCATTTATAAAAATTCCCAGTTCACAGTTTTAGACACCTTTGTGACATCTGGAGTTGCGCAAATTGTAGTTTGCGCATGATCCTTGATTGGTTCCACGAACAAACTGTCAATATTAATATATTTGAATATAAACACTACTTTAGGTTAAGTTCTTGTCCATTAAAAGGACAATAAAACTGTTTTTGATACCAAACTGCCATACGAATGCTTTTTTTTTGTTATTTTTTTAGACCTAGATCTGAAAATTACACGTAAGTTTGTATAGGTGGATTGTTTCCAAAAATTATAGATATTTTTATACTTCCTAAATGATGGGTTTAAGCTTTCGTTGCATACTATTCGAGTTTTTGTTTTGAGATTGGTTTACAATGCTTAAAATAATTATTTTAATGAGTTTTTCATGTAGTTGCTTCAAGGACTGTCGTTGCTAAGTAAAACGTGTTTTTTTCGATTGTCCTGTCAAGTATTGGGCGATATGCCGCAATTGATCCGCTAGTTGAGGCCTTTTATTTAACACATACCTTAAACTTTAGTGATGACTACGTTTGGTTTAATTTAAATATATTATAATTTTAATATCATGTTTTTCAGTATCGCATTCTCTAAAGAAGAAAAATATCGCGAAATGCTATATACAGGGAGGAAGTATCAGACAAACTTGTTAAGCTTCGTCAAACCTAAAAAACTATCAAATTATTGTTCACAATCTACTTTTTAGTCACTTAATGTCACTAATAAAAAGATACCTTCCAATAAACTTGTTGAATCTCCTCAAATTTACAAAATATACATTATTGTTCACAACCAACATTTTGGCCATTAAACGTCCCTCAGAAGGGAGGAATTATCCCATGAACTTGTTAAACTTCGTCAAACTTAAAAAACTATCAAATTATTGTTCACAATCTACTTTTTAGTCACTAATAAAGAGATACCATCCAATAAACTTGTTGAACCTCCTCAAATTTACAAAAACTATGAGATTATTGTTCATAATCCACTTTTTAGCCATTAAACGTCTCTCAGAAGGGAAGGAGTATTGGATAAACTTGTTGACCTCGTCAAACTTAAAAAAAATATCAAATTATTGTTCAGAATCTACTTTTTAGCCACTTAACGTCACTCAGATGGGATATAATATCAGACAAAATTGTTATGATTTTTTTACTTGCAAAAACTATCAAATATTGTTCACAATCAACTTTTTAGTCACTTAAGGTCAGTAAGAAAGAGATACTATTCGATAAACTTGTTGAATCTCCTCAAATTCACAAAAACTATCAAATTATTGTTCACAACCTACTCTTTAGAAACTCGGAAAGAGATGCTATCTGATAAACTTGTTAAACCTTGTCAAACTTACAAAAACTATCAAATTATTGTTTACAACCTACTTTTTAGCCACTAAACGTCCCTTACAAGGGAGAAAATATTCGTTAAACGTCGTCAAACTTACAGAAACTATCAATAAATAAAAATTGAGGATCGGTGCCATTTTGCAAGATAATTCGGAATGGGCTTATTTGGCAAGTAATACTTCATTGAAAATAACTTATATCACTCAGTATGTCCCTAGATTGTTGTGCGGTTTCAAAATGGTAATCGTTCAATGTTCGATGGTGACATTGTGGATAAAATATTGACTATACTTAATAATTTAATAGTATTTCAGTTTTATCTAAGATGCTCGAATAGGTTGTTATGTTTTTCCATTTTCCATATTTTGATAGTATTTATTTGTTTGTTTATTGTCATCTGTCAAAAATATTTCGTCATATAGCACTTGTCAGGCATTTTTAATAATTACATCTCTGAATTCTCGGATCAAATACCCAACAAATGTATGCTCTGTATTTTCTTTTTCGATGTTTATGATCATTTGGGTCACTTTCAACGCTGTACCTGTATACTACCACTAATCTTGTAACATTTCCACCTCGTTTAACTAATTATTTTAGGCATTGTCAGTGAATATCTAGTAAGTAAGTTTATCTACTGTATAAACACCGGTCTAAAGTATTCTGATGATGTTGTTTGACAGCTGATTTTTTACTAATTCATATTTTTAATTTAAGTATCGTTTAGACAATTCAATTGATCATTTAGCTTTTTTTTAATTAGATGTAAGTTGTATATATAGTATTTTATGTTTTTTTAACGTTTTGAACGTTGCCTAGAAGATTTTTACATAACTTTATAACAAATTTTATCAAATTTCAACAAATTTGTGAAATTTTATATCATGTGTGCAAAATACAGCTCTCTGATTGGTCAAAATTGTGAAAATTTGCAAATTTGTCACAAGATCAAGCGAATTTTTAGCTAATTCGTCAGGTTCATGTAGCTGTGTCATATCTTGTAGCTCTAATCGTTATTTTTAAACACTAATTCTGACTATAAACTTCTTTTTTAACCTATTATGCTCATCTTGCGACTACAGTAGTATTTAGTGGCATCTAAGAATTTTGTGTATATAAAAGTAAAGTACAAACAATAATTTTCAGACGTTCTACGACATGATTATATTTTTTAAAGATATTAAAAGTCTTCTAGGCATCAAAAAGGGCGACATAAACTTAATATTTTTGTTTATAATTTCACATATGTAGATTTTACTGTAGAATTACAATGTAAATATCCGGTTGTCGTAAAATAGGCTTTGTGATTGTACAGTATGTTGATGATAATTATTTTTATTTATATCGATATATACAGGGTGTTTTTCAACTTCCGTGATAACCATTGTAAACATTTAGCCGTGTGTATTTTGAGAGAAAGATGAATTACTAATTACCTGGTACAAAAATGTCGGTCGCTATGACCCCTGTTTATATTTCTGTCAGTTTCTAACCATTGAAAGTTTTACAGAACAGTTTTGCTATGTAGAATTTAGTTGTATATCAGTTTTTAAAATTTTCTGTGTGTTTTACCTTCTCGATATGAATTTAGTTTGTTAGAAGTTTCTTTTATCGATTTTTTGGTTCTGTTTGTTGCGTATTCCATCATGTTTTCATCTGTTCTTCTAGTTAAAAATCTCGTACGTTCCAAAACTTCATTTTGAATTATGTTTTGGTCTCGTTATTGTTTACTTTTCTCTAAGCATTTAATTTCTAATATTACTACCAAGTACTGGTTGCCTAGATGTGGCGTTTCACGACATATGTAAGCAACCCGCAATTCACGTTTATTCACTATCATCACGGTTGATGTTTAATAAGCCATATTTACAGAATTTTATATTTAAGCTCTTCAGAAAAAGGTTATTGATTCGCCCTTGAGTTCACACGTTTAATTTTTCTTCGATTATGATTTTCTTTTCACTGTGTCATTGTAGTTACTCCAAACAATATTACTGTTAGGTATTTTCAGTCGCGAAACTGTTCTACGTAAACGAAAAATCCCTTTATTGTTCGTTTAACCATAACTATAAGTTTGTAAAGCTAGGTTTACAAATCTTGTGATAATTTTTTTATTAAATAATTTGTAATATTCGTGCGTAGACTTTTTTCTACTGATCAGGTCTTAGCTATTTGTTATACAATAATATATCTGTGATTTTATTCATTTAGGTAAGATTAGTTGTAAAATTAGAAAACAATAAATTTCTCTTCGTATATTTTTTAGTTTTATTATACTACTTTGGTTTTGGATACTACAAAAAAAAGCTAGATTAAGTTTTAACTTTAGTGGCGGAAATTTCTAGGAATAGTAAAGCCTCACCAAACAAAGCAGTGGCGTTAAAAAAAATACTTGATTTATGTCATGATTTAAATCAAATTGTTAAAGAGAGGTACACACAATTTATTCAACTAGTGGCGAACCCAGAGAGGGGGGAAATTGGGGATAAACCCCGCATATAAAGTAAAAAATGTGTAAAGAATTGTAGGGAAATGTAACTTGTCTTTCACACACAATACAAAAAATTAAAAACGCTAATTCAATAATTAAATTACCACTTTAAATATGTAGAACACAATAATTATTGTATAAATACATAATAATTAACACAAAATAATAAATATTTTTCATTATATTTAGATATAGATACCTAGTATTAGGCTTATCATAAAAGTAGACAGAACGAGTCTGTTGCGAGTAGCATGCGCCCACAGGACTGTATCTGTGGTGGCCTTGTGGACTATCACGGGTTATGTTCCTCTGCATTGTGTTAGCAGTAAAAGAAAGACATCTATATGAGATAAGAGAACATTTGACAACAGCTATAAAAAAAGAAGAAAGGGAAAGATCAATGGAAAGATGGCAAGAAGAGTGGAACAACAAGGAAGATGTTGCCCAGTTGACCAAGATGCTGATCTCGAGCCTAAGGGACTGGGTAGATTGTCTGTGTTAGGGCGTATCTTCATATACTCCAACATTTGATAGAAAAAAGAATAGCGGTTGGTACCGAAGTACATCTAGCCTTCAGCGACCTAGAAAAGGCGTATGATACAGTTTCAAGACTTAAATTGTGACAAGCTTTACAATAACTCGACATTAGTCCATACCTTTTAGGAATATTCACAGAAGTATACAGGGATAACACTACTTACCTAAAAATCGGAAATAGACTATCAGAGCCAATAAATGTAACTAAAGGACTAAAGGGTAGTGGGAAAACGTTTTGTTTTGCTTCAATTTTTATTTGCGCCCAAACAATTTCTATAAGGTTCAAGTCTGGATGATATGGCGGACTGCGTCTATATTCTTTGATATATCACCATATGTGAGGTAAGGGCTTGCCAACGTATGGCCACTTATACACTCCCACGGTGCCTTACAGAGGGTGTTCGACCAGTCAAATAAATGAGACACAAGGGTGGCAGGTGGACAAGGTCCAGCCACAGAGTCTAAAACGTTCGTAGAACCTGAACTAAGCCCCGACATCGGACTCCCAGGGTGCAGAGACCCTATTTGGGAGCCGAGACCAGAAAATGTGGCATATTTATAAGTGTATTAATATTTATATGGCATTTTCAGATTTATCGGCTAATAGAAAAGTTGAAAGATGTTTTAAGGCGGGGCGATGTGCATCAGGGTGCGTATTAGTCTACGACTAAAGCACCAGGATGACAGATAGTATGCTTTTTATGAAAAGTGTTAAAAAAGTGGAACTATTTTATTTAAAATAAACAATTCTAAATTAAAAGAATCCGCCGCCTATGAAACTAATACTTCGGACATTTCCGAAGTAATCCAAACTGTAAGTTGCAACTGTCTTTCCTCTTAGTAGAATCTCCTTGTTTCAACACAGCCAAATATTCCTCACTTCCTTTTTGTTGGCGACTTAAAAGTAGATATATCTACTCAACCTCAAAACCAACATAATTGCTTACTGGTAGACAGGGTTCTCGTGAAATAAAGTTGTCACCGCGCATATATAAATTTGAAAGTAGGGGTTGAGCCACTTCAAGCAAAGGCATTCGTGCGACCGGACGTTCTACGGGTAGCTGTTCGATATTTTTACAGTGTTGCATTGTTTCTTTTTATTTTAGTTGTACTTGTTCTATACAAAAGTTCTTTTCAGAACTCTGCTAAAATTAAAAATTTTAAAGGTAAGAAGATAATTTTTTAATTTATATTATTTATTAATATGTATAATAAAAATCAAATATATTTTTTTTTGCTGCATATAAATTGTACATTGTGAGATACAATTGTAGCGTTTTCTCTACTCTGCTATTCATTTCTCCTTTTAGAGTGACTTACTTAGTAGTATGACTTACTGTTAATATAATGAATGAATCATATAATTATCGTCCTATATAAATATTTACTTTGAATGGTTAAATACTTACAAGTAATTAAGTTTTCCAAGTAGGATCTTTTAAAGTGAAAGTATCTTAACTGTATTGTAATGACATCATAATTACTACTGTTTGGTAAATACCTAAATAAATAAATTTGAATCAAATCATTATTTATGGATCTACACGTTATTTGTACCTAACCAAAAAATCATTCCTTTATCCTTTCTTTCGCAATTTACTGTTTCTATCATATATATTGGCAATATCAATAATTTCCTATCATAAATATTGGCAATATCAATAAAGTCATATACTTTAAAATGTTGATATAATATATGGCTGAATTTTTAATATGAATGAGTCAGATAAGTTAAATTATTAGAAGAATTTTTTTACCAAGCAACAAAAACAATGGAAGTCGTCAAATAAATTTAATTTCAAACTTAAATTGTGGCTTACTGCCAAATAAAATAGTAAATTGCATAATCTACCACAAGCAAATAGCTTCCGAACAATATCATTTTGTTAGGTAGTACGATACTAAAAATTCCCAATATTACTGTGATCATCCACATCTTGACAACATTGCAAACATTTTAAGATCTAGCCAGTGATTATTCAACGTGAATTCACGCGTAAATGTTCGGGAATGTGCATCCTTTTTTGATTTTAAACTTTCTCACTCTGCGCAGTGCAAGCTCCGCCCATTTCACGGCATCCCTGTCGGCCTGTACTTGAATGCAAAGGATTTGTGCCATCTCAGAAAAGGCAGGTAAAACTAAAAAAAGGATTTATTAAAATATATAGATATATCCGAATGATCAGTAATATGCTTCTTTGGCACTAAATAAAAATTTTAATGCTTCCTAGACACACGTAAATTCTTTTGACCTTTTTTAGATACCCTTTCAGCTCTATATAACGTTATTAGATGGTTTCTCGAAACGTTTTAAATATTATCACTCTTTCAAATGCGTTTGGCGTATTTACCTCTTTCTGAAGTTTTTTTTACGCTTTGACCACATTTGTTAATACTTCAGACTTTCTTTTTTGTTACTTGTTAACGTTTTTTACAATTCTTATTGGTTTGAATGCTTTTTCTAAACAGCAATCGCTTTTAGAAAAATTTTAATGCGTTTTAAATCTTTTTTGAGGTTTTTAACGCAATTTAGACACTATTTTATGGTTTTGACAATATGTAACGTTTTTAGAATCTATTCAATGATTCTAATGTACAGTTTTACCATTTTAATGCCTTTTGGACAATTTACTGATATATGATGAAGTACGAAATAAAAAGCGAATGAAACCTTTAATACTTTTATTTTTTTTATAAAATCTTAAACTTAATATCTTTATAACATATAAAAAATCTTCGGGTTAAAATAAAGTTTAAAAATGAAGATAATTACAATGTATACAACGGATTGATTCCGAATAATTCCTGGAAAAATATACATCCTATACCCTACTGCATCTTTTAACTGGAAGCAAATAAGTACGTAGGCCACTTAAAATACCAAATCCTATTCATCACACTGTACGTAGTTCGCCGGAAATAGCCCGTACCTGTTTTTGCACAGTCCTCTCCACCACCCCGCATCAATCTAAAACAAAGTAAATAGCAATACTAAATTAAAATACAAAAATTATAATACAAAAGTATCATGAAACATCTGATCAACCATAACAAATAATCGGTGCTTTAGCGCAGATCCTAAGAAATAGAACAAAAATCTTTAGCAAACTCTGACCAAATTAGTCTAAATAACATTTTTCGTGTAAACATACAAATTTTATTAAACAAAATATATCAGCTTAAGCTGGATTTTCACAGATCCGATATCCGATGACACGAAATACGAAATTTTTTTGTATGAATATATTTGGTCGTATCCAAAATTTTTTGACATATCCTACATACCCTATCCCAAGATATTCTTCCCCCTTTTTACCTCTTTTTCCACTTTTAAAGTGTAATAGAAGTACTTTTTCACTTTTTAGAAGTTTAAAAATTCTCCAACAATTATTGTGTAAAGTCTTTGACAATCTGAACTTATATTTGATTTATAAAGAGTTTCAAAATTGCAATACAGCTATCTTTGTCTTAAACATATAAATACCTTGTCAATGTGCGTAATTACATCGTCAGGATCGAATGATATTTCGTCCTCTGCGGCAGCTTGATAGTCGTACAGTGCCACAGCTGTAACACCAGTATCCACTATTTCCTCTTGATACTCTTCTTCAGTCTCTTGCGGTATTGCAGCAGGTTCAGGTTCTGTAGGGGTCTGAAAAAATAAAAATAAATTGTACAGAAATTACATATTTCGCATGTTATTAATAACAAACATCAAAGCAACTTTCTTGGTTATGTAAAGGTTCAATATCTCAATCACAACATGGTTTTCATAGCAAGAAATCCACTGCAACAAATTTCTAATATTGGCAGATAACTTGAAATTTTGGAAAGTTATAGATAGCTTAAGAGATTAAGCCTTGCTACAAGATGACATACCGACTACAAAATTGGTTGCAATTAGAACAAACTCCATTTAAATGAAAAAAAAAATTGTTTTTCTCATAGTTTATCGAAGTTTTTCTCATAAAGTAAACAGAATTGGAACAAGCTATACTATTAATAATCATCCAGTTAATTATGTTTCTTCTATTCGGGATTTAGGTATTATTTTAGATGAGAAGCTTACTTTCTGTGACCACATAAACTCTATTTCAATAAAGGCCTCTAAAATTCTTGGCTTCTTACTAGGAATAGCAAGTATTCTCACATTAGTTCGAACTCTTTTGAAATACTGTTCAGTTATTTGGTCACCCTATTTTCAGAACAATATGATATCATAGAAAGAGTCCAGCATAAATTTTTAAGATATTGTGCTTACCATGTCCACACTACTTTTGAAAATCATGATTATTGCCCTCATCATCATCATCCAGCCTCAAGAGTCCACTGCTAAACATAGGCTTCTTCTTCATGTTTCCAACCCCGTCTATATTGTCCTATTGAACAACAATTATTTTTACCCTCACTCAAGAACCGTCGTGATATGTCAGGAGCTATATTTGTATATAACATAACATATAATCATACATATGGATTTATTGATTGTTCAAACCTGTTAAGCCAGATTAACTTTAATGTTCCCCATCAAGCTGTATGTTACCACAATGTTTTCAATATTTCTTTCCGCAGAACAACCTATGCTATTCACAACCCATTGGATATTACAATGGGGCTATTAAATGTTTTCGATTTTGATATTTTCAATATAACTTTAACTCAGTTAAAAAGATCTCTTGCTTTATGATATGTATATTGGGATTGTTGAATTTTGTTCTTATTATATTTTATTTGTTTTCTTTAGTATGTAAGATTTTTAGTTTCATTTTTTAAACTTTTTAATATCGATTTTATATTATAAGTAATTTCAAGTATTGAATCCTCACTTTGATATTGTATATTATAATTGAAACTGTTTATGGGGTTATCCCGTCTATTAAATAAATAAAAACAAACACTTGTATAGACACATTTTTGAGTTTTGCAATAAACTTTTGAATCAGAACCTGGGAATTTCGTTGTATTAATACAATTTGGTAAATAACTGAATTTATGAAGTCATAAAATGTTGATGATCATGCGACATATAATACCGACGGAAATTTTTAAAGAAAATGAAACAAAGCAATATAACAGTAATAGATGGTGATATCATTTACAAATATAATACTTTTCTTTAAAAATAGATTTTCAGCATGGTACTATCCGTATTATCTTCATAAATCCGTTATAAGTGATTCAATTTTGATGGTAAAATTATCGCACAGCGTTGCCGGATCGTCAGGATAGCACAGAATATCGGTAATTACGGAATTATGAACAAGTAATAAAAATAAAATATAACGAATTTTTGAGTTATTTTGCCCATCATTCAATTTCGACGTTGACATTTTCACACAATGTTACCGTATCATCAGCATAGTGGCGAATTTGGATATTATTATATTAAGTAATGAATGATGATACGAGTTTTTGAGCTATTTTGTCCGTCATTTAATTTTGACGTTGATATTTTCGCTCGGTGTTGCCAGATTGTCGAGATAGTAGAAAATTTAGAAAAATAAGAAATGAGATAATGTAACATATTATTCTTACCAAACATTTGTATGTCCTGAATTGTTTTGGCATTTTGTTCGTTATGGAATACCTGCTTATTCACAGTATTTTAGGTTTGCTTAACCTGTTCACTGTTTTTCAAAGATATTTAATGTAAATTATAGTTTTCTGGATATCAAATTTATTCTATTTTAAATAGATTAAAACTAAAATTGGACTTAACAGGAAATAATTTATTTTATATGTAACATCTTACCATTTCTTCAGCCGCAGCGGCAGTGGCACTGGGTTTGCCCCTTTTTATTGTTGACACATCAAAATTTTCATATATATCATCAGAGTCTGAATCATCCGGCTTTTGTTGCTGTAATTGCCTTAATAACTCCAATTCTTCTTGCATCTGTAAACAAAATTCACCAAATAAATAGAGTTCCTCCACTATTCCCCCACTTAAAATATCCAAAAATGGCCAAAACCTTCCCAATCAATACAATCACTTTTCCGGCATTTGTTGTTGGTAGAATTTGACTCAGAGGGAACCAAGTCTGGCGAATTGTAAGGATATTTCAATAATATGTGCTTCAAGTGTTTATCAACGGACTGTTTATTAAAAAAGAGTAATATTAAGCCTACTTGAGGTAAAAAATATCGACTAATACTTACCATACTTTGTTGTTTTTCATTTTCAGTCTCTTCATTCTGAGCAAAATTCATTTTGGCCTGATCTAAGCGTTTTGGCTCAACAGTCTTCTCCTCAGGTTCGCTATTTTGGTTTTGTTGTGTTAAAAACGCAGTTTTAGATTGGTCCAACTTCTTGACTGCCTCAGTATTTGTATTTCCGTTCTCCTTTTCTTTATCTTCGCGACTGGTTTGAGTCAAAAATGCCGTTTTCGAATGATCAAGTTGTTTGGGAGAGACGACTTTTTCTGGGGACGAAGGAACAGGAGGTTCTTTCTTGACATTAGCGAATAAGGCGGCCTTGGCGTGAACGTTTTTCCGGGGAGCAGTAGAAGGTCCTGTCGTTTCGGGTTTGCTTTGTTGTGCCTAATAAAAATATTAAAAAAATCTTAAAAGCTATATGAGTAACATTTTAAATACTTACCATAGTCTCGAACTTGGCTCTAAGATCTGAAGGTTTAGCACCACCTATATCAGGCTTGACTTTAGTATAATTGGTTCCTACTTTTGAGGGTGGGTCGAAATTAGAGGCAGACTTATCGAAACGATCAGTTTGCACACCGAACTTGCCGCCAAAGCCTTTCTTGTGGTCCAATTGACTTTCATGCTTTTGTGGACTCTCGTGGTGATCCCATCCCACAGCTGATTTGTCTTGTCTATCTGCCTGTACTCCAAATTTTCCTCCAAAACCGGTTTTGTAATCTGAAATATAACTGCAGAGTGAGAACCACTACTACTATCCATTTAGATTAGTTAAGACACCTTAACTGAGCAGGTTTACCCTCCTTGGCTTAATGAGTCTTTTAGGTGGCCAATTGTTTCTTCCAAAAACTGTGTAAAAAAACTACAGGATCTCTTTACACTTTAGATAAGAGTAAGAAAGGTTTACAATGCTGTTCAGTTGAATTTTAGCCTATTATTGGCTATAACACTTATAGGGGGTTAAGATGAGTGTTCTGTAACTGTCTGGAAAGCCCACATCTTATGGTGTCTACGTTACACATTCGTTACCTTTTGTATATAAGTCCAAGAAATAAAGACCCTAAAGCTTACTAAAGAAAATAGAAGCCAGGTACATAAAAACAATAAATAATCAAAAAACAATGAAATACTTTGCATATTACAATATCTTACACCTGCTTATAAAAAAAACACAGAAAGACAACAGAATATAAGAAGAAAATGATTGACAATAAAGAATAGAAAGAGTAAAGATAACAACAGAGGGGAAAGAAGAAAAACAACAAATACGTTATATGGTTCACTGTAACTGCTCTAATTTAAACATATAAACAAAAATATTGGAAAATGATCAACCTCGTACAGAGATTCATGTATGTACTTTGAACCCTTTATATAATTTTAAATTTACCTATTTCACTTAATGAACACTTTTATACAAATCCTACATACCTTTTTGTGATTCATGTTTTTCTACTTTTTCAACATGGTCCCAACCAACAGCTGACTTGTCCTGTCTATCACTTTGTACACCAAATTTCCCTCCAAATCCAGAAACATAATCTTTCTGTGAAGCATGTTTTTCTATTTTCTCCTTATGATCCCACGTTACTGCACTCTAAAAGAGAAATATTTTCATATAGAAATATATAAATTACAATTATTGCATTAGACGTACACTAATATCAACATAGTTTCCTTCTACAATGATATCCTGTTTCCAATGCTTCTCTAACAATTTTAATTTCAATAAAACTTCATCCAAAGTATTAAATTTCATACACAAATATCACAATATTAACAAAAACTAACCTTATCTATTCTATCGGATTGAATTCCAAACTTTCCACCAAATCCAGTAGAATAATCCTTTTGGGAAGCATGTTTTTCTACTTTGCCAACATATTCGTGGCCTACAGCAGATTGGTCCATCCTGTCCTTTTCAATTCCAAATTTACCTCCGTACCCGTAGGAGGGATTGTGCTCTCCCTCCTCCAATTCCTTCTTCTTCTTTTTCGCATCAGCTTCTTCGGTTTCTTTCCTTAATTTTTCCATACTAGAAAAATAAATCTTGTGTTATATGTGGACAATGTTCAAACCTGTAAAAATGGCTAAAGCTGTTCAAAATGTAATAAGAAAATGTGTAATGCAGGTTTCATATCACAAAATAAGAACATGATCAGCTGTTTCATGATTTCGGTATATTAAAATTTTAGCAGCATGCCCTACATACACTGTACAAATGTTTAAATATTCCAGATTCGATACCTAGTAGTGGCAAAAATATTTAAACATAGTTTATTCGTCTTCCGGGTTTGGACCGTGTCATTTGTGAATGACCCAAAAGTGGGTTCATCTCGACGTTTCGCTACAATTGTATGTAGCTTCTTCAGGAGAACAAAGAAAAAGAAAAACAAAAGACAGGAAGATGGGTAGTTAGCAACGGTAACTCAGTTACTCAACGCAACCAGAGGCGAATACTAACTACCAAGATGGGCATTTGGTCACAGTAACTCAACTACTCAACACAGCCAGAGGTGAAAACCAAATGCCAGGACAGAGATTCACGTCCAACAGCTCAGAACACTAACGCGTCGAGAGGCGGGGAGTGAATCCTCAGGAGAAGGGAAAAAGCGAAACGTCGAGATGAACCCACTTTTGGGTCACTCACAAATGACACGGTCCAAACCCGGAAGACGAATAAACTATAATTCTGACTCTGGCCGTGGAAGCATACAATTTCATATTTAAACATATTAAAAATATATTCAAAGATCCCAATTCAACTCAATCTAAAAAAAAATGAGTGCAGGGGTAATAATAGTTGGTTGAAGTGTAACACTGGTCCTGTTAACAACCTTTATCCCATAGATTCAACACATTGCACACTCTCCCGCTATATTCTGTAAATTACACTATCTAATTAAAGGGAGAAAATACTGGTGTATATAGCAAGTTAGTGAAGAGTTGTACATTATGTTCAATGTGCACTGAGTGAACTGAAAGATATGACAGAAAGTTATGAAGGAATGTTATGGTTGGATACTTTTGGGAAAGACCTTGTGTATTCAATTTATTAATGGACAAGATAAACAAAAAAGTAAGTGCAGATTGTACAGAATGGGAAAATGTGGGAACAACAATAGCATTAAAACACATACATCTCATTCTAGGAGTATAGCAGGGTTGTGTTTTGTCACCCACTCTTTTTAATCTGTACTCTGAAGAAATCTTTAGGGAGGCTTTGGATGACAGACAAGAGGGAGTAAGACTAGGTGGATAAGTAATCAAGGCATCAAGGTCACGAAGAGCGGTAGGAAAAAGATAAGTTTTAACAAAGACCTATTTAAAAATAAAATTAGCAACCTACGAGAAGAAGCTACTAACTTCACAAACTACCATAAAAACCTAATACATGCATACAGAAGCAGCAGCAAGGAAAAATGTGTCACATATACTGTACCCTATTGGTGGAACGACGAGATACAGCTTAAAAGAACAAAATGTTTCAGAGTCAGGCGAATAGCACAAAGGAACAGGACCCAAGAAAACTTGGAAGAATATAAGCGCGTAAAGAAAGAACTAAAAAAAGAAATAAAGCGGGCTAAACGCACATGCTGGCAGAACCTGTGTGACACGCTGGACAACGATATATGGGGTGAAGCCTATAAAATTGCCACTAAGACACTGAGGTCCGAGGCTCCATATAACCTTTGTGTAGAAAAAAGAAAGGAAATTGCGAAAGCCCTTTTTCCTAATAAGCCCGAATGCCAATTTCTACCATATACTCTAGATAATAGACCTGACGAGTTCACCATAGATGAAATAAGATTAGCTGCCGAAAACATAAAAATCGGGAGATCCCCTGGCCCAGATGGTGTGCCACCAGAAGCCATACATATTATGGTACAGGAAAATCCTGAAGTCACCAGAAAGGTATTAAATGAGCTCCTACACAACCAAGAATTCCCAGACCAATTGAAGATTGCAAATTTAGTCTTAATCTTAAAACCTGGTAAACCACCAGACGGGCCTAGTTCATACAGGCCTATATGTTTATTAGATTGTATTGGGAAATTCTATGAAAGCCTCATAAAACGCCGCCTTGAACAGGAGCTCTTAAACACAGGAGCTATTTCTGACCAGCAATACGGTTTTAGAAAAACACGATCAGCTATAGACGCGGTAAAATTTATATGTGATACAGTCAAACAAACAAGAAATAAATGGGCAATTCTTGTTATGTTCGATGTAAAGAATGCCTTCAATTCTGCCAATTGGGCATACATCATAAGGAAACTGGAAACCGCTGGAGTGTCAGACTACCTAATAAATATAATTAAAAATTACCTCACCGACAGATATATTAAAGTGTCAAACAAAGAAAAAACAAAACTATCGGCTGGAGTACCGCAGGGATCTGTATTAGGTCCAACGTTGTGGAACGTCTTGTATAACACAGTATTGGAAATAGATTACGGCAGAGGTGCGTCAGCAATTGCATATGCAGATGACTTAGCAATACTAATAGAGGGTGACACAAACTTGGATGCAATAAATAAAGTTAATATATGCTGGAGAAAAGTTAATAGGTGGATGACAACTAACGACTTACAGCTGGCGTGTAATAAAACAGAGATAATTATATTAAAAGGGCCTAGAGCGATACCCAACCTGACTTTCCAATTTGCAAGTACGACGATAGTCCCAACCAATTGTGCTAAATATCTAGGCATACACCTTGATACAGGTCTACGATTTACCAAACACCTGATAAATGTAGTCCAAGCAGCAGAACGCAGAACAGCGGCCATTATGAAAATAATGCCTAATATAGGAGGGCCAAGTAATTATAAAAGAAGAATGTACTTGCAAATAGTGCATTCGACCCTTTTGTACGGTGCCCCTGTATGGATTGAAGTCTTAAGGTTTGCCAGGTACAAAGACTTGATTACAAAAGCTCAAAGAAAGCCCCTTCTTAAAGTAGTTAGTGCGTACCGGACTACATCTACGATAGCCTTACAGGTGATTGCTGGTACACTCCCCATTCACCTCCTAGCGAAAGAAAGAGCCATCCTATACAATAACGGCAACGGCCACCTGACACAGGTAAGAGACGAAATTAGGAACCAGATCCTTGATGAATGGCAATCTGAATGGGAGGCACAAAGGGAAAAAGCACAATGGACTAAAATACTAATACCCGATGTAAAAGCATGGTACAAATGTAGGTTCAAGAGAATAAACTATTTCTTTGCACAATTCCTGACCGGACACGGTTCTTTTAGGTCGTATACATACAGAATTAAAAAAACAAATGACGATATCTGTATGGATTGTGGTGTGACTGATGACGCGGAACATTGCATTTTCGAATGCAATGTCTTTCTACAAGAACGTCAAAGACTGAGAATTAAGCTAGGAGAGGTCACGCCCAATAATATACTGGACTTAGCTATGCAGAACAGAAAGAACTATGATTATGTGTTAGAAATAATAACGGAAATCATAAAAAAAAAGGAGACGCTAGAAAGAGCGAGACAGGATGAAGGAATAGGCTGAAAGACTAATAAAATAATTGTAATTCGCGTTTTTTTTGCTCATTAGACACATACTTCAGCGTTCTGTACTAATTTTATAGTGTAACTGTCCTATTTACTTACTTATATTGTTTTTTATACTGTCATTATGTCACTCAGCTACCTTTGAGACTCTCTACCGAGGACAATACTAGGTTTTCGTGAAAATTGAAGACCGCGGTGGTGCTCCCGAAGTTGCATTCGCCAAGAAAAGTTCCGGGTGCGCTGCTGGAAGAGAGGGTGAGTTTAGTTGGTAGGCGCCTGAACTAACCTTATCAACATTCCAACGTTATAGTTCAGACGAATCCAACAGTATCTGGGTCCTCTTCCCAGATCTCTTTAGAAGATTCTCATCCAAAAAAAAAAAAAAAAAAAAGGTGGATAAGTAATCAACAATATTAGATACGCTGACAATACAGCCATTCTTGCAGAAAATTTACAAGATCTCCAAACATTACTAAATCTTGTAGGTGAAGCAAGTTATCAGAGAGGCCTTAAAATCAACATTTCAAAGACAAAGTGGATGGCAGTTGGAAAGATCAATATATATCAAGGTCTGATTTCTCTTAATGGACAGGCGATCGAAAGGGTAAATCACTTCAAATACCTTGGCAGCTGGTTAAATATAAATTGTAACTCTGATGAAGAGATAATAACCAGGATCGAAATATCACGTAAGGCTTTTATGAAGTGGAAACCAGTTTTATGCAACAGAAACCTGTCGATGAATATTTGTAAGAAGGTCCTGAAACGTTATGTGTGGTCCATCCTATTGTATGGTTGTGAGACATGGACATTAAAAACCACAATGCTAAACAAGTTAGAAGCATTCGAATTGTGGTGCTATAGACGAATCCTAAAGATATCGTGGGTTTCGCATACTTCCAATGAAGATGTTCTTCAAATGATCAATTCAGAATGTCTGCTCATAAACACCATAAAGAGGAGAAAAACAGAATACTTCGGCCATATAATTAGAGGACCTAAATACATTCTACTTCGCCTTATAATACAAGGAAAAGTGGAAGGAAAGAGATGGATTGGTCGAAATAAACTTTCATGGCTGCGTAATATTAGATAATGGTGTGGTTCCACAGTAGAAGAATTATTTCGCGCAGCAGCCGACAGAGAGAGGTTTCAGGAAATTGTAAACATGATGACGGCCAACGTCTGAATACAGACACTTCACCCAAAGAAGAAAAAGAAGGTCTCATTCTTCAAAATTTACAAAATAATCCATCCTGCTATGAAACATGAATAAAAAAAATGACAAATAATGTAGATGGTAATTGTTATCTTGTGTCATTTGTTATTAATATTTTTTCATAAACAAATATATAACATATATATTTTATAATCAGTAAAATAACAAGCCTTGACTCATTCAAATTATAAAAATAGTTTACATATCCCCAAAACAGTGCATAAATCACAACAAATAGATAAATATACCAAGCTATGAATCACTTGCCACGAAATTTGATGATTAGGAGATTACCAACTTCCTGGGTGTTTATAATACAAATTTAAATATTTTTGTAAATGAAACTATTGTAAATTTACTTACTCTATGGCCCCAGCCGTTCTGCCCGAGCCTTCCACTGTTGTTGAGCCCCATCTTTGCTGTTGTTCGTCCACATCGTTTACAAAATCAGGATCAGTTTCCCATTCATCGTCCTCATTATTGTCGTTACTGATGTTTATTTGATGACCAGCAGCCGCTTTCCACATTTTAATTTGAGAAAAATTTATTTATAGGAACAAAATTATCTACAACTGTTACTTATCAGATAAAATTAATCAACATTTACTACTATTAAAACTACGTGAACTGTTGATTTTTAGTTGTAACTTCATTATCTAGATAAAGGCCAACACCCGGGAGATATGACACATCGATGACACTGACATCTGCTATGCTACGGTGTATTTGACGTTTACATTTGAACCACAGATAAACTAAAATTGGTAAATAACAGCACCAATGACGTTTGAACAGCACATAACAGCTGTAACGGGGCTAAGCCAGGTAAAAGCACCTTTTTATTGTGCACCCTTCCGTTTGGTGGCACTGTTAGTCTCGTTCTTGTACGTTGTTCGTTGTCACTTTATGTCGTTAAAGTCAAAAAGTGTTTTATTTTTTCATAAATAGTGCAAAAAGGTACCATTTTAGACGATTTTTAATTATGGAATCAAACACAATACATGGAATAACAATAGAAAACCACCATTAAGAAGGCTAAATTAAACTACACTTTGCTTTTATTATTAATATTTCTTGTAAAACATATAACATTTTTATAAATAAAGATTTATTTTATACTTTATTCTTTAATTTTTTTAACCACTTTTACATTTTAATGTAATGGAAAATAAATATAGCCTCAACATAACAAGGAAATCCAAATAGTATACGAAAATACATATCGTATATGATAATAATTTTTATTTATTATAGGCTATTTTATAATTATATTGATTTTCCTTTTTTCCTTCAGTTTTCATTACTTTAAAATGAGTTTACAATCCTAGATAATTTTAGGTGCCTTTTGAATTTATCGCCATGTATATATAGTTACGCACCCGGACACTAGGTGATGCGCCAATCGTCGTTTTATCTCTTAATATACGACTGGCACTGTTAGGTGGGAGTGTGCTGTGATTTGAACTAACGGTTTTTGGTTAAACCTAATTATTTCCTAAATAGTTTTTTCCTAAAAATAAATTAACATATATTATTACTAATGAACTATTAAGAATAGCTTGTCAAAAACTATCAAATGCTCCAAGATTACTATTTATAATAATGTTAAAATATTCATGTTTGACAGTGTTGCACGATTTTCAAATACAAAAAACACTCTAAATGTTTAATACTTGTTTTAATTATACCATATCTTGGATATTATACTTGCATTTGAATATTTGCTTCCTTTAGCAGAGTTAAGTTATAAAATTTTATAAGAAAAACCTTTCACCATTTGTTAAATGAAACACCGGAATTTGTGAACATATTTTTTATTTTAAATTCTTGGATTATATATTTCAGTATTCTCTCATTATTTATTATAGTTCGGAATCCAGTAAATAGCAATTTAATATATTTTAAAATCGCGACTATAATAATGAATCTTCAACAAATTTTAAAGGAACAAATTCGGGAACGGAGTGAAATGTGGAGTACCCTTTTATTTAGTTGAATAATTTCTCATTTTATCATTGTCCCTTGTATATTCCAACAGTTTCTCGACTTCTACACATTTTTAAATTTTATTTTGTGTTTTTGATTTTCTTTTCTACCAATATTTGAATATTTTTTCGTTGTTTTTCCCCATATATTTTCTTCTTTCGTTCATATTATTTAAAACTTCTTGGATTCAAAATTCAGTCTTTCTTAGCAAATTGATTTTTCTTTTACAATACACTTTTTATATTCAATTCGATAAATTTTTAATATACATGTTTTGTTTCTGTTTTTTTTTTATAATTTCATATACTCCCAGGAAATGTTACAGCATAGGCAATGCAGGTACGGAAATTTTGACAGATGAAAAAGTAAAAAGGCGCCAATTTTGCTGTTTTTTGAGGTTATAATTTTACAATAAATAATAAACAAAAATAATTCCTACTTAAATGATAATAAATAATGTATGGTGAAAAAGGATTTGCTTTAATAAAAGAATTATCTAGAAATGAAGACAATTTGCCCCCCTATAATGTAAATTTGCTATTTTGTTTTTGAATTTGATACTTTTTGTATGAGCGCAAAATTTTCATTACTGTATAATTTTCTTTTTTTAGACTGAGTTGATAAATGCTGTTACTCGGGAAACTCAACAATTAACTGATGAAAACATTGCAGATGCGTAAGTAAATCAAATTAGTAGGTAATTTAAACTTTTTTTTTATATATAGCTGAAATGTACAAATAAGCAATAGTTTTAATTATATATGTTGCTGGTAAACCCCGAAATTGGTTAAAACTAGTTTTACCCAGATACTTTGCGTATTATCCAAATTTGCTGGATAATAGGCAATGAAGATTAATAATTTCTTGATTTAACTGAACATTCTAGATATATCAAATGGATAAAGCAGTAATTTTACTCCAAATTAGAGACGGATAAATCCAGAATACAACAAATATTCACAAATATCCTTAGCTTAAAAATAAGCTTTATCCAATATGCTGGGATAATTCTAACTCTATCTAGTAATTCTAGTATTATTCTATATTGGCGTTTTAACCATAACAAATATAATTAATATCAAAGAATATAGATGCATATGTGTCTATATTCATTGATAATATTATGAAAACTTTGAATTTATAATTTAATATTATGTATTTTAGTCAGATTTCAGCAAATGAAACTGGCGAATCAACGCTATTAAACACAATGAGGGTCCGTAATGCAGCTGTGAAAAGAAATACTAGGTGCTTAATGGCATATCATTATAATCGTCTCAGATGTCTCCGAACAATGAGATGGGAGTTTGGAAGTATTCTGCCGGCTGATATAAAAACAAATTTAAATGCAGATGAGATAGAATGGTTTACAAAATATTCCAAAGTGTTGGCTGCGTATATGAGGCAAGTATATCTATCTACATGTAAATCTAAATAAACAATTTTATACTTCTCTTAAGAAATACACAGCATAATTGCTTTCTATTTCTATTTCATTTTTTTTGTACAGAATGTATAAAAAATGTTTGATTTATTATTATTAAAAATATAAAATGACTAGCAATGACAGGAATGATGACTGTTTTGTTCTGTGCCCCAATACAGTAAACATTTCTATTGTCATAGTTACACAAAATATAATTTGTTATGAAAAATAACAACAATTTTAATAAGTTTTATATTAATTAATTTTTACCAGTATGTTTTATAAAATTAGTAAGTTTTTACAAGACTTTAATTAAATTATAAAGTTTTAACAGGATTTTTACTAAAATATAAACAGTTTACCAAGATTTTAAACAACATGTTGAATAATTTGCCAGATTTTGCAAAGATTTTTACAAAAGCTTTAACTTACTTAAGTGTAAAACTGTAGCTAGAAGTTAAATTACGATAGGTTATGTGAGAGTACATTCATAAGGGAGATCATCACATCATATCCTTGCCTAGAGCATAGCATTAACAGTGAACAGGTCGCATTTAAAATAATGCATTTTTTTTTACCTGACAATCAATATTGTTACATATAATATGGTCAAACTTACCTTCTCATTGGTCATTTATATGGATCTATAAACTTGGCTAATTAGAAAGAGATGCAGACTTTTCATCTATTTCAGGTCTATTGGAGAGAATGGAGTCAACCTAGCAGTAGATTTCAAGCCTCCAAAGGCGTTGTACATTGAGGTTCAGTGTTTAATGGATTACGGAAGATATGAACTAAGTGATGGAACTACATTACTCTTAAAGAAAGATACTAGACACTATTTGCCAAGGAGTGAATGTGAGGAACTCATTAGACAAGGAGTTTTTCAACATGTTGTGTGATTATGGTTTTTAAATATATTATTTGATTCTTTGTCTATTGTTTTATTTATTTATTTAATACACAGGATAACCCCACTCACAGTTTAAATTACAATATACAATATCACAGTTAGGATTCAACACTTGAAATTACTTATAATATAATTTTTTTTTATGTTTTGGTACATGCACTCGGTCCAGCTTATTACAAAAATGTGTCTTAGTCTGATCCGCTAACCACAATTTGCCGGAATAGAGAAAAAATCGAATTAAAATTTCTCCACTTTTTCAGCAATATAGACCTCCAAATGAAAATTTTTCTCACGAACCGTTAGATGTAGGAAAATTCTGAGTATGGCAGAAGAACGAGCGGTCAATTTTATGTAAGAAATATCCACTCACTTGACTCTCGGACGAAAATTGACGCCAATATAGCCGAATAACAAATTTGAAAAAAATCCAAGGGTACCCCTTTGATATTTTTCCAAATTATTATTAAAAAATTCTTTTTTTTATGGTTTGGTACATGCACTCCAATTGACGCCAATATATGCCGAATAACGAAATTAGAAAAAATCCAAGGGTACACCTTTGATGATTTTTTCCAAATTTTTATTAAAAAAAAAAAAAATATATTTGGTGCATGCACTCGGTCCAGCTTATTACAAAAATGTGTCTTAGCTGATCGCTAACCCAATTTGCCGGAATAGAGAAAAAATCGAATTAAAATTTCTCCACTTTTTCAGCAAATACAGACCTCCAAATGAAAATTTTTCTCACGAACCGTTAGATGTAGGAAAATTCTGAGTATGGCAGAAGAACGAGCGGTCAATTTTATGTAAGAAATGTCTACTCGCTTGACTCTCGGACAAAATTGACGCCAATATAGCCGAATAACGAAATTTGAAAAAAATCCAAGGGTACTCCCTTTGATGATTTTTTCCAAATTTTTATTAAAAAATTTTTTTTTATGTTTTGGTACATGCACTCGGTCCAGCTTATTACAAAAATGTGTCTTAGTCTGATCCGCTAACCCCAATTTGCCGGAATAGAGAAAAATCGAATTAAAATTTCTCCAGTTTTTCAGCAAATAGACTCAAATGAAATTTTCTCACGAACGTTAGATTGAAAATTCTGAGTATGGCAAGAACGAGCGGTCAATTTTATGTAAGAAATGTCCACTCGCTTGACTCTCGGACGAAAATTGTCGCCAATATAGCCGAATAACGAAATTTGAAAAAAATCCAAGGGTACCCTCTTTGATGATTTTTTCCAAATTTTTATTAATAAAAAATTTTTTTTATGTTTTGGTACATGCACTCGGTCCAGCTTATTACAAAAATGTGTCTTAGTCTGATCCGCTAACCCAATTTGCCGGAATAGAGAAAAAATCGAATTAAAATTTCTCCACTTTTTCAGCAAATACAGACCTCCAAATGAAAATTTTTCTCACGAACCGTTAGATGTAGGAAAATTCTGAGTATGGTAGAAGAACGAGCGGTCAATTTTATGTAAGAAATGTGCACTCGCTTGACCCTCGGACCAAAATTGACGCCAATATAGTCGAATAACCAAATTTGAAAAAATCAAAGTGTACTCCCTTTGATGATTTTTTCCAAAAAATTTTTATTTTTTTTATTAAAAAATTTTTTTTTATTGTGTCTTGATACTCTTTTCGCCATGCTCCATGTAATATTCTACTATCTAATTCAACAGCATGTTTTCTTAGCAATCTAAAAAACCTAGATAAAATACCAAATGTGTTTTCGATAATTCTTTTCATCATATAGGTATGTTCACAACACAATTCATTTTTTTTATTAATAAATAGTAAATTTGAGAATATTTTTTTCTAGGAATGATAATTTGAAACATAATAAACAATTAAAATCTAATTGAGCAAATAAAATCACTTTAATTCAACCATATAATCAAATCAAATTTTAAAACTATAATATTGTTTTATAAATAAGGTTTTGGCCATCTATGAACGTTGTTCATACCATTTTGAGTTACGCTATTTTACACTAGATGACGCTTTAGCAGAAAATCCGGTTTTTAGTAGTACGATTTCTGCATTGGACAAGATCACTTACTGAGTTCCCGCCAGATAGCCGAATGAATCATCGGTTATCTTTTGTTTCTTTTTACAATCTTCTCGTTTCATTCCTGAAGTTGATTTCGTTGTAGAACGATCAGACAAAAGTCGAAGAACAGCCATGTTGGGTAGTGTCGGTGAAAAAAGTGTATGTTCGTAGAGAAAAACTCGCAGATATTTGTGCTTGTGTTGTGCAATTTGTTAAGTGTTTGACATAATTTGGATTATGACCGCCATCGCGGAGAACCTGAACTGGGGCACCGAGCTCTGGGTAAGTAAAAAAAACAATAATAATTGAATTGTTTCTATAGTTGTAGACAGTTTTTTGCACAGTCGACGCTTGATTTTTCAATGAAAACATCACGTAAATGTGGTGTGTGCTTATTAAAGTATCTGAGAACTTGCAGATGTGGGTAGATTTTTTTTTCTGCAACAAGATACGCGATAGGATCTCGAGACCTGGTTGCTGGCTAAAAAAGACTGTCAGGTACCAGTTACACTGCCTGCAGGTGTTTTTTGAATTCGCTGTATCTCTTTGCAGGATTTAACATCTTAGTTGCCTCTAGCTAGTACTACTACATTGATAATGCGAAATAAATACTGTAGTTTTGTATTTACAATATTGTCATGTGATGTGACAATATTTTCTCTATTATGGACACTTACAAACAATAAGATAATAGATTAAATCAAGCTAGTCTTACATTGTTTACATATATTCATAGTCTTTTCATTATATTAATTACATGGTATCTCGTATTTGTTTACTTAGTTGTTTGTTTATTTATTTATTAACTAATTTTACCTTCGCTGGAGTACATTAAGGTAAAAATTTTAAACAATTATTGTAGAAATGTCAGTTATCGTTTAAGTACACTGATAATGTGATGATTCTTCCAAAGAATATAGCACTTGTATATTTATTTTAGTATTATCGAGATACTGAAAAGTGATAAAAATATTATAAATAAGCCTTTTACAGGAATTGAGTATTTTAATTCTCAGTAGGTAGCCGTAGGTCTACTTATTCTTGATTAAATGACACGATCAGATCATTATTTATGATTTATTACATTTTGTAACAACCAAATACTATCTAGGCCAGAAAATGTAGGAGATATGTGGGAAAAATACATCAAATATCTGTTTGATGATGAGAGAACAGAACCACAAATGAATATAGTACAAGAACCAATACTTGATATATTAACATTGGAAGTTACAAAAACAATCAATACGGCAACGCCACGAAAAGCCTCAGGTCCAGATGAAATATACATAGAGATGATAAAGCTTATCAATGAAGAAAATCTTCAGACGTTAACAATATTATTTAACAAAATATGTATATACCACTGGAATCTTCCCAGAAGACTGGCTTAGATCGACATTTATACCTATACCAAGAAAAATAAAGCAAATAGATGCTCACAGTTCAGATTACTTAACCTGATGAGCCATTTTCTGAATATTTCTGAGAATTGCCTATAAAAAGAGAAGTTCGTCAAGGCTGTGTACTTTCTCCACTGTTATTTAATATATATTCCGAAAGGATCTTTCAAAATGCCCTCGAAAATATTGAAGAAGGAATAAAAATCAACGGAGAATATGTAAACAACTTAAGATACGCAGACGACACCGTCATTATTGCGGACAGTGCTGAAGGACTTTTGAATGTCATAACCAGAGAGGGAGATAGCTTGGGACTAAATCTAAACACAAATAAAACAAAAGTAATGGCTGTTACACGTGCACCAAATGTCGACATTAATATTCGTATCTATAACAAACATATAGAACCAGTACAAAGATTCCAGTATCTTGGCTGCTGGATAACAAACGATCTTGACGACGAAATATGTGCTTGTATAGAATATGCCATGCTAGGTCCGCATTTCAACGAATGAAAATATTCCTAATAAATTCTACGTTATCGTTGGATATCCGATACCGTTTTATAAAAACGTTTATTTATTCCATATTGCTATACGGAGTGGAAATATGGACTCTCGGAATTACAAGTATGAGGCGTATAGAACCTTTGAGATGTGGGTTTTTCGAAAGATGCTGAAGATCTCTTGGACAGAGCATGTGACCAACAATGAGGGGCTAAGAAGAATGGGTACTGATAGAGAACTCCTAAATATTCTAAAAAACAGAAAAAACGAGTTATCTTGAACATATTTACAGAGGAGAAAAATACAATTTCCTACAACTTACATATAATGGAAGGGAAAGTGGAAGTGGTATCGGTCCAGCAAGAAGAAAAGAACACATTCGATACTAAGAACAGCTCAAGATAGAGAGTAATTTGCTGTAGTTATAGCCAACCTTCAGTAATGGAGAAGGCATCTTAAGAAGAAGATTAGATTTTGAACTATTATTTGAATCAATTATTTACTTAGTTGTTACTGTTTATAAAAATATTGGTAACAAAATTTTTTGTTACTTCAGTGGGTGGTGATGTCCAAAAGTAGGATTCCAAGGGTAAACTTCCAGTTTTTAGGAAGTAATTTGCTTAAGTTATTGTAGTACAGTCTTTTGTTTGTGACAATCATTTTTAATGTCACTAAACTTTATTTGATATTGAAGGGGATAGCAATAATTCATTGCTAACTGTTAAATTCAATAAAATATATACTTATGGTATATAATAGATGATGAGTTTTAGTTGCCTTTAAGCTGTTTGTAAATCTTTTGCTAACTAGTAGATTCCTAGTTCTTCATATACAAAATTATAGCAGTCATTTAATATCCAGTCATATGTGGCCACATGATAATCCTGATCTGATACAAGTACCTTTCTTTTATATTTTGACTGTGTTTATCTTGAAACATCTTTTATGCCACTGTACTTACTATTTTCTTTAATTTTTCAAGCTTATATGTACAAAAACCGGTTGAAAATATTTGATTTATCACATATAATTAATTTCTAATGAATTAATGAAGGGAAAAACTCTTAGTATCCATTATTTTTATTTTTTCTGTGCAAGTGAAAGTATTTTCTTCTGTAATGCTGGAAAAGGAAAGTTCATAGAGAAACCCTTGTTTGAACTATCATTTATTTGCATAATTGCGTTTTATTATTTTGTTATTAAGTAGTATAATTATTAGGTATTGTTGGATAATTATAGGAAATATTTTTTCAATTTTCTTATATAGAATTAATATAATAGTTTTAAAAGAATTGCGATTATGGATACATCAATTTGAGATAGATACTTAAGTAAAACACAAATGTTAAGTGGCAAAATACTGTCAAAGCCACAAATTGTTTCTTCAAGTTTCAAGGAAAGTTAACACCACAATTTATTCTTGGAAATACAAGAAAACAGCAATTTTAACAGGTTATAATATAAGGAAAACACATACAGCAGATATATCATTTATTATATACAGGGTATAAACTATGTATTAAAGAAAACATACATTTTTTTAAATAGGACACCCTGTATATTTTTTATATTTAGATTCCTCTCATAATCTTTGTTCTTACAATATGGGGTTTGGGACTACTATGCAGGGTATTTAACGAGTTATGGTCCTCTTTATTTGGAAACCGCCATGAATTAAACACACTGTATATACGAGCCCCTTCCCATATCAGTTGGCTCAACGTTAGATTAATAAGAAAATTAAATTTTAGAGAATCATCATCATTTTGTCTTAACAACCCTGTGTGGGTCCTAGCCTCCCCAAGAATTTTTTTTCAGTCGTCCCTATCCATCGCCTTCCTCCTCCAAGCACATATTTTCTCATATCTTGATCTATGTTATCTAGGAATCTTGTTCTGGGTCTTTCTCTTCTTCTTTGACCAATAGGTCTATCAAGGAACGTTTGTCTAGCTGGGTCGGGTTGCTCCATCCGCATTACATGGCCTACCCACCTAAGACTTCTTATATTAATGTGTTTTACGATATCTGGTCCCTGGTATATTCTATAGAGTTCGAAGTTGTATCGTCTTCTCCAGACACCATTTTCATTTACCGCTCCCTAGATTCGCCTTAGTATTTTTCTTTCGAAACATCCTAACATGTTTTCATTGCTTTTTGTTAAAGTCGAGGTTTCTGAGCCATATGTTAGGACTGGGCGTATTATTGTTTTGCAGAGTTTTATTTTTGTATATCTTGATATAACCGTAGATTTAAAAAGGAGATTTACAAGTATACAAATTCGTTAACTGCTTCGATGACGTCGTTTTCTATAACAAGTGGCCGTAGCATTTGTGGTTTTTCATGTATTTCGTTTTATTGGTGTTTATTATTAAACCCATTTTTATAGCCGCTTCCTTTAGTGCTACGTACGCCTCTTGTGATGAGTTTTGCGTTCTCCAAACCATATTGATATCATCAGCATATGCTAGGATTTGCACATATTTGTTATATATTGAACCGGTAGTTGTGATTTGTGACTTACGTATTACTTTTTCCAGAGCTAGTATACAGGAGAGTGGGTCTCCCTGACGTAGCCCGTTATTTGTATTAAAAGGTTCAGAGAGTTCCCCCTGGATTCGTACTCTGCATTCAACTTTTTCAAGGGTTAGTTTTAGTTAGACTTACCAACTGATTTGGTACTCCTAGGTCTATCATTGCTCTAAACAATTCTCTTCTGTTTACAGAGTCGTAGGCTGCCTTGCAGTCTATAAATATGTGGTGCGTGTCTACACCGTATTCCAGTGTTTTCTCTAGAATTTGTCTGAGGGTTGAAATCTGATGAATTGTTGATTTACCACCTTTGAAACCATCATGGTATTGTCCTATTATTCGCTCTGCATATGGTGCCATACGATGGCATAGTATATTGGAGAATATTTTATACGCTGCATTTAGGAGCATAATTCCTCGATGGTTAGAGCATTCAAAAATATCTCCCTTTTTGTGTATGGTGCAAAGTATTCCAATATTCCAATCACAGGTGAGGGACTTCTGTATCCATATTTCTTTTTATAAGCTGATGTACCGCTATTATGATATCCTGGCCACCTTCTTTATATAATTCCGCTGGGAGATTATCTATTCCGGGTGATTTGTTTCTGGCTAGCTTGTTTACAGCGTCTTTAACTTCCAGGATCGTTGGTGGATCCTCCTCCCTCTCGTCTGCTCCGCTTACCTCACAGCTTTCGTCTTCCGGGTGACGAAAGACACACTCAACGGTATAGTGAGATGTGTTATTAGAACTTGATGTCGCTTTGAAGGTCAGAACTTCCATGGAAGGACGGAAGATTTTATGTCTATCAATTTAGTGGTGCTTCTATTCCATTGGTTTTGC